GCAAAAAAAAAATAATTAACTAAAAATATCAACCAACAAATCATGTCGACTGTGGAAAATTATTTGTCATTAAATACTAATATTTTATTTGAACGCAAAGACTACTTTGAGGTTACAAATTTATATTCAACACCTCACAAAATAAAATTAATACATAAAATATTAGTAAATTAAACCTTAAAATAAGATTGAATTCTTAAAGCAAAATTTTAAGTAGCTCGATAATGAAAGCAGCCGTTAACTTATGATTTTTCTGGGAGTTACGGTATAACAAAAAAAAAAACAGAATTATATGGTGTCAAAGTTTACAAAATTCACCGTCTTTTAGAATTATAAAAATAGAGATACTGTGTTTTTTTTTTAACTGAAATACTAACGCATGATGAATGCATTCAAAAAAACTCTTTGTATTTGTTTATATTATATACGAATACAAGGAGTTTTTTTTACGGTTCAATTTCGAGAGGTTATATATATTTAAAAATTCATTAATATCATTACTGGTTTTTTACTTTAAACATTGGTGAGTTTGGTACAAGTCCGTCGTGGTCTGCCATAATTTCTCCGAATAGGAGTACACTGATCCTCTTGAACGATAAACAAAGAGTTCAACGTACCGACACCAATGATGATCACTAGCACAACTGATGATTAACTAACCCTTGTATTTGAGGTCACCTGGCACAAAGTCAGTTGGATCCAACGCCTTTGAAAAATCCCCTCTGTTCAGTGGAATATGCTAAGTCTGTACTATCAATGATAGGGCGATTAAAAAATTACTTAGATATCGATGATTCTGCTATGATTAATCTGCAAAAATGTTTATCTACTCAAATGGCTCCGTTTGAATAATGCGGTCTTTAAAATAATAATTATTATTGACGCCTGTCTGACCTTGTGTGCTTTCCGTAACGAATAAATCATAATATCAAATTATTATTATTTGGAAGAGATCGTTTGATTATAATTCCATTGAGTTCGATACTAAAATCAATATTATTGTTATTCCGCTTACATTAGTAGTGACGTATGAAAACATTAATGAAGTTGTTTATTTTTTCGCGTCACCAATACGTTTTTTTACTTGTTTTTAACGAATGGTGTTGTCTAACGAATGCCGTAAACGAGAAATGCGTGAAAAATATAACAAGTAACAAATTCGAACAGATTGCTTGTGTCGCGTGTTTTTGCCCTGCAACGAACTATTTAGGCGAACCGTTTGGAATGCGACCAATTAGTGCGCTAATTAAAATTAACGCCATAAGATTGCTACTGTTAAACAAACAATTAGATAATGTTAATAATAGCTAAAGTGTGATTAATTTTAACAAAAACGGATTATAATAAGGTGACAAAACCCATATGTGTTTATACACTTCATTATAAAACCCGTCAAATGCATTTTCTTGGACATCTCCCAGTGAAGTTCAAACACATTTTTTTTATCATTTTAATTTTACATGATATTTTATTGTTACTTCTTATTATAGTACAATCACCACAAGACATTCTCGCTTGGCAATGTAGTCTCTTGTCTTAGCAAGACAATAATAGCTAAAATGTGATTAATTTGATTTTTTCGCTCTACAAACGTGATAGGGATGAACATATTTTTTGAAATACTGTATTCTAAAGAGAAAAATCAAAAAGACATTATTAAAATATTTTCATATGAATTTATACTAAACCACGAATCACTTTAAATAGATAACACCATATTTATTAATGTAATGTTATACTCTATACACAAACAATTTCATTACTTGTTCTATAAAAGTTAAAAAAAGTAAATACATATTTTTAACACCTCGATGAATAAATCAAAGCTGATTGACGTTGCCGATTTTAAGTAGGAAGCACTCAACTAATATGTATTTTTCAATTGTTAATTCGTCAACAAATGTTCGGAGAGTAACTTTAGAAGTAGCTTATGTATAATTTAAACAAGTTAACACTTCACAACAATCTGACGTCACAATTGTTTATCTATTCATGAAAATCGGCAAATAATTTTTTTTACAAAGAGTATCTCTAAGTAAAAACTTCATTTGTACTAATTTAAAGTTCTCAGTAAAATTCATTTAAAGCCAAATCGCTCCATTAAAGTCTGTGTAATCAATACAACTATTCAGATATTAACTCAAACTGAAACAAAACTATTAATAAAGGTAATATTGAACTGAAGATTTAGACAATTTTCTTATTATTGTGACAGTTAAAATGAACCAATTAGTCTATACTATCAAACGTTATGGACACAGGGAAAGATATGTAAACATCATAATCGCTATGAATATAAAAAAATGTTCTATTTAAGTACTCGTTATCGCATTTAAAACGACATTAGTACATCTTTTTGCCACAATTGTATTATCTTGTAAGACGACATGGGTGTGGTTTTCATACACATAGGTACCTATGACAAATATAAGATAAACCCTTTTTGTTCACAGCTAGAATTTTTTCCGTTACTGTAGATTATTTTATATTGTGTCACAACAACGAACTCCTTTTAAGTATTTCCTAAGGAACACAGTAAAATGAATACGGTTTAAATATATTTAAACTTGAGAGATTTTATTAGTAAAAATCTCACGAGAACGCATAACAAATATTTTATTTTGAGCTATGTTAAAACAGAAAAATCAAACAAAAAACACTTAACGGTGGAGACAGTTTTTTTTCAGAATTAGTACAGCGTTGACATGTGTCTTGAGGCGTTTAGAAGTATAGATAACTGCTAATCACTTTTTTATTTCAAATTTAGAAAACGAAAAGAGTTTAATGACACTCGTAGGATTTTTTTAAAATAAGTAAATTTGGTTCTATTAATAGCTAACAGTTTCAGTCAATGTCTTCGTGTAATAATGAAACATAATGTTAATTTTCTTTTACGAAGTATTCTTCAAATTAAAAATAATAATTAATCTTTTGGTTGAGAGCAATTGAAAATATCATCTAACATTTTCTTCTGTTATTATTATTTAGCGTAAAAATTCAATAATAATGAAAAATAGATCACTTATATGTCATTAAAATTGCACCTTCTTTTTTATTTTTTTATTCAAATATAGTAGGGAAAAAATTATTATAAAACCAACAGCATAACATCGACTTTCAATTGAATAATCAAGAAGAAAAAACTCTTTAAAAATTATTTTTTTCTCTAAATCTAGAGAGTATATTATACTCTCTAGACTTGGAGAATATTTTCTATTGTGTAAGTAAAATTGTGAAGAAACTGTGCAAAATAACACTGAAAAACTCCTTTTACTTAATTGATACACGGGTAAAGCGCCTGTTTTTTTGAAGGTTTTTTATAATGGTGAATGGGGTCATCTTGACACTAGAAAGTTCCTGTTGAGCCAATCATATTATCACGACTAAACCCATTTAATAGAATTTGTAACTTTTTTTCACATTTTTATTTGGCAGCAGTCGGAGCTCTGATAAATTTTCCCGAGCCAAATTTTTTTGACAATCCGCCCCGGCCTATGCAATTTTCAGAATAATAATAAAATAACATAGTAGGAAATTACCTACTTGAATAATTTGCTATTTTTACCATTAATAAAAAGCAATTAAATTTGAATAATTCATTACAATGAAAATTCGTATGAAACCGCTTTCAAAACGAACTTAATTTTTTTTCAAGGCAAACGCATTGCCACCTAGTTTTTCTCGCGCCTCCGTGTAATGAAATACGTTTTGAAAAAACCCATCGATATGTATTTGGTCCTTTTACATAAACAATGTGTAAAAAAACTCAAAATATACAAACCAACCTAATGTAATAAATTATCAACATCAATATTAATCGTTCAACTACAAAAAAAAAAAAACTATAGAGTATAAATTAAATCAAGGGCTAGTTAATTTGGTCAGCAGAGAAAAATTAAAGACCGTCTAAAGTATGTCGTATAAAAATATGAAACTTCTTGCATGTTTTATCCATTCATACTATTACATTATAATTCATTCGAGCTCGTCTATTTTATCGTACTTGAGTAAATTATTTAACCACATTATCCAACGGCGCAAATTTAGTTTCTAAATTTATTAGTACAACATGTCAATTATTTGGCAGTCGAACGGTTAAAAAAAACTGTGTGAAAAATTAATTGTACGTTTTATACTTTTTAACTTAACTAACGCAATTTAGAAAAAATAATGATGTAAAATGTATTTTTTACTAGCTCGAGTTAACACATTTGCAACACAGTCTGCATAACGTATTTGCCAAATAATTTACATACTGCACTGCACTTGCATTTGTTATTGGTGTGCAATATTGTCCCTTGTCTCGACTCTTTCCAATGTTTTTTAATTCTTTATGCGGACAAAAAAAAAAACTATATTTTACACATTCGTCGTCACGTGATTATCTTCTGCTTGATTGTCGTTGCACACGTGATAAGACTTGACTCGACATAACATGCACTTTGGCGCCGTTTTACATTATTGAATTTGCGTTGAATCGTTAATTCATTCGCCTAATTCGTTAATTTCAATTGGGACCAAACACTTTGCGGTGGGTCATCGGTTTTACCCGGTCCTTTCTCGTGCTCTCGTCCCGCGGTCTTGTTCGTTTAGACGGGACGCCTGGCGAATGACCTCGGCCTAGACCGTCTAAAAGAATCATCATTAGGTGCAACAACAACGAACCCTTTGACCCCTTGTGGCGAGTCGTTCGTCTGTCTCGATTTACGTGGGACATCCCGAAGGCGACTACGCGCAGTGCTAAACGGTGTACGTTTTGTACACTCGAATAAAAAAAAAAGAAAATCTTATTCCAACCGAATTTTGAACGGATATTTTTTTATCAACTACATTTTGGTTTTTATCTTGTCGGCGCAAATTTGTCTGCCGCGTGCAAACAGAGACCAAGTTGGAAGAAGTTGCCGCCTCCGCTTAGATGGAATGCGCCACGCGTGAACGCCGCCTGCGCGCTAGTCACGTACACCACAGCGACGGCGGCCTATAAAAAACCGCAGCAGGGCCGTCTTACAGTCTTTCCAACGCCAGCCGGCCGTATCGTCCGGACGTAAAACGCCAAGTTTTCAATTGTTGCGATAACAGACGTCGTATTTTTACTTGTCGATAACGCTGACGATTACTCTTCGCCTTAAGTATCATCATGTGCGGTACGGCCAACAAAATGTCGTCGTCAGCGTACGTCGAAGATCCGCGGCGGGTCGACTCGGTCGCCTATCACTACTTGAGAACCAAAGAACCGATAGCCGATCAAGAGTACTCGCCATCCGAAGAACCAGCGAAAACCGTCGGCCGCCCTCACGGTCACCATATCGGTGGCCTTCATCACGCCGGTGTGCACGTAGCTGGCCATCAAAAGCCCGACGATCTGCTCACCACCGCCACGACGGCTACTAAAAACGCTTTCGACAAATGTGTCGAGCTGTTGAGACATTTCCAAAAGTCTCCCATGTACAAGTGAGTATTTAATTCGGGTGCCATACGATTTTTTATATTTTACCTGAAGAGCATTTGTAAATGTGCTGCGCGACGTCTATTGTACATGTTTGTTGTTAACAACCCTCATTGCGAACGACCTTAAATGGAAACATTCCTGTTACATACTTCAAATTTCATCCAAAAACACGTATCTTTTTTTTTTTACTCTATTGTACGTTTCAGTCTCGTGGGTAACATTTAAAAAACGATTCCATCATGATGATTTTACGGACTTCAACATTGGAAAAGTTATGACCGTGTGATTTTAATATGTAACCTTTAGATAATTATTCGTATTCGACTTTTCATCATCAACTAGTATAACGGTTACTTTGCGCGACTTTCTAACGGATTAGAAAACGACAATAAAATAATTATATTGCACTGTCGCAGTGTGATTAATAATGTCTGACTTCGCTCGTGCCCATAATGCTCAATAAAACTATATTGCCCTGTTAATTGACGACCATTTTGTGTTATTATTCTGTCCATAATATGGTCCGAGTACACAGTCTGCCAAATTAGAGACACCACTGTCGATGTAACGATTTCAAATGGGCCGCATCAAAAGTGCGATGACTTATCATAAATTATTTTGTCTCTTGTCCGCAGAATATTGTTTTTCGCTCAGCCGGCCCACGTCATCATGTTGTTGGCCATCACGTTGGTAGCTGCATCCATGTTTCCAAACAATATGAAAAAAACCAATACAGTCGACGGTCAAGAACATGTAAAGCCCAGGACTTTTGTCAACTTTGTCTACTTGGCCGCCTTTTGCACTCACGTGGGAGCCCAGTTCTGGATGACATTCATTTCTGGTGAGCGCACTGTCCATTATAATTTCCAAGTACAGTCGTATTATTATTTCAAACTGAAAACGAACGAACATATTTGTTTTTCAAATTTTAATTACATTGCTTTTAAAAATAACCGAAACGTCTCAGTCGAGATCACCCGTGCCAAATATATCCTAGTGCAATTTTTCAATTTAAGCNTCGAGATCACCTGTGCCAAATATATCCTAGTGCAATTTTTCAATTTAAGCAACTTTGGCAGTAAACGAATATACACGCGAAAACGAAGCGTAGGCTTTTAAATTTAACCGAGTTTTCCTTTGGCACGTTTATTTATTCTATTTTCAAAATAAGTTCCGAATGCACTTGATATTACGCACGAACTTATTGCCATAGTAAAAAACAAAAACGCATAATGTTATTCCATAATTTTACAGAATTTGATGTTTAACAATTTATCGTTGAATTTAAATGTTCAGAATAATTTTAATAATCGAGTAAATTGTTTTTTCAGGATTGAGTTTGTACTTCAACTTAGCGAGACACGCGTTCGGCGATGTCCAGAAAATACTTTTCCCAAAATACTTTTCATTGAACAGCCTGCTCAGTGCTATCACACTAATACAATTTGGCAAAATGCACGTGACTTCAAACGTGTGGGACATGCACACTTATCTACAAGTGATTATAAAATTTTTTTTAAATGTTCATCCGTCAAGGATCGCGTTAACTGGTGTACATATTCGTGTGCAGGTGTTTGTGCTCAGTCTGTGTTTCTTGTTGGAACTCATTATCCGGTTGTATGTTGTGCCACCCCTACTGAAGCTCATCACTATTAAAATGGCCATCGAAAAGTCAGCTGGCGTCGGCACCGAAGTCGGCCACTATGACATTGGCCCGCTCGTCAACTGCCCGCACTACATGGCCATTCACCGGGCCTTCCGGCAAGTCCATTTGTGCGTGGCCATCGGCAACATAGTGACCATGATGTGCACTTCGTTCCACCTGATGTACATCGCCTCCTAGTCCTCAGCAACATCACATGCTGCCAAACGACCAGAACACTCGACACTCGCCCTCGACGCGGTTGTTCAAACACGATTGATCATAGATTAATGATCGAGCGTAACATTTTTTGTATTTATTTATTTGTTCTCTAGTCGATAACTTGAGAATTTTTAAGATACATTTTTTAATTGTTAGTTTTATTCGTACTATTTTGTAACATCATCAAAATGGATTTCATAAATTGAGCGAACGACACAAAATGAATTACGAAAACTGTATTAAAGTGAAATTAGCCCGTCGGAATTTAATTTTGAAAAGGTTAATCGGTCTGATGATATAAGTTTACTAGGTTTTGTAGCGTTTGCCGTTTGCAAATATTATCTTGTTAGAACATAGACAATAAAATAAGAAAAAAATTTATTGTTTTGTGTAATTTTGTACAATTTTTGTTTTATTTTGTGTATAAGTTTATCGGTAGGAATTTCATTTTATATTAATGTTTGTAATTATCATTAAAGCATTACGGTACTCGAACCGTTTAACGACAGACAGTCGGCGCGCCAACACTAACAGAATAACCTTTGTTTATATACATAAATATTTATTATAAAATATTATACATGTATTTTTTTATACTAATCGTTTTAATGTAAATTAGATTTACGAAAGTTCAATTGTTTTGAGATGATATTAATTTATGTAGGCCTACGGTTGGTAATTTTAACGGTTCCTATAGAACTATCGTCAATGTCAAAGACTGTGAAGTGTATTTTTTTTATATTTCGTAGGTGGATCGTATCATGTTTAGTTAAGATATTTTTGTTGTTAGAATATTCTAATCGTTCCTATATTATTACTCATTGTTGCGGATATTTTTTTAGATTTAAATATACAATTATTATGTATAAACAATATGAGTTCATTATTTATATTTTTTAGGGCGTTAGCCAGTGGTGTAGCTGGAATTTCATAATGGAAGGAGCATAGTAAAACAATCCGCAAAATTCCATATTTTGGATTTTATTGCAAAGATAAATATTGCCACTGGTTTCGGGTATTTTATGAATGCAAATATCTCTCCAAAGTACTAAATTTTCTAATTAGTAAAAACATTTAGCTCTTTAAAATTTGAGAAAATTGACACTTTTGTTCAAAGTTTCAAATTAAACTTTTTTAAAATTTTAACTACTATTGTTACCTTATGAAATAAATAACATTACTTATGATATGAAAAATATTCGTTTTACGTTTACGTTACATCTAAATATTAGAACAAATACAATATTATATACTATTATGTATTTTTTAAAAAACTTTTCTAATAGTCAGTGCTGCTATTGATAGGTTTAAATTTTTTCTTGTAAAAGCAATTGATTCGCTGTTAATTGATTATTAAGCCTATTGAAGAAATTGTCACATAAATCGCGCGACACAAACAAAATTATTTTTATTATACTTATAAACAGCGCTGTGAATTACATGCATTTATAAATAACGTTAAGTTAATTCGGACACACTATCAGCAAGTACACATTTTTATTAATTGACTTGTAATCTTAATCGTGTGTTTGATCCGATATTATAGTTTCAGGGGTTATTAGGAGGGTTAATTCCCTCTTAAAATAAAACATATTTCTGCGTAACTATATAACCATATGACAAAGTTGCACAACCTTGGGACCCTTAAAAGTGGTTCGAGCAAAATTTATAAACACATACAATTTACAGCCTTACTTATAAAAAAGAAAATGAAACTAAATATTTAATATCTTGCCTACGTTCTTGATCCAAACAAGTAAAAACAAAAATTACAATTAAAGTATACTATTGGCGTGCAACTACCTTAGATTTATTTTTGCCATAGATTTACGATAAAAATAATTACGACTTAAAAAAATATCAATTAAAAATCTAGACTATAAAATGTAACACACATATATTTTGTACTTTAGAATATAAGGCGAACACAAATGTTCAATAATGATATTGAACACATGATACTTGGTGCATTTATTTAATTATAAAATCATTTGATTTTCATAAAGAAACTTGCTCCATGCTTGAAGAATTTATTTAAGACCTGATGAGGTCTCCTGTTCAGTCCATTATATCTTAGTTCGTGTTTTCCGAGTTGTTTTCTTTGCATGTGGCTGAATGCTTTACTGATTTCACACAGTGGTATTTTGAACGGTATGCGACGTATACTATAATATTTAGTTTTGAAAATTAACATATACCCTGTAAAAATACTGCAAATACGTTCGTACACCTTAAAATACACTAACTACATGCTCTTTTATTTTGTTTATTTATTATATAATTATTTTGTTCAATTCATCACATGATACTATAAAAACTATATGAAAAAGATCACAAGTATCCTATAGTTTTTTCCACAGTGATAACAACAGCTATTTAGTTTTATCACAGATTAAAGTGTCATTTAATCGGAGGTTTTATTATCTATCCGTGAGTGTATTATTGTTATAACCACCTGCTACCATGTTTTAAAAAGATTTTTAATTCTTCAAGAATTATGAAATATGTAATTCATTGGCGATTGTTATTAGAGGATAAATAAAAGATTTAATCAAATTGAGAGTCATGAAATTCAATATATTTTTATTATACTAAACGATTCTTAAAATAGCTGATATAATACCTTTAATGTACTTTTATTAAATATTATTACAATTTAGTAGGGAATTTATTTTGTTTGCTCATTACAGATTCATACAGCGGATCACCCCAAGTGTCTGAGCCAAGGATTTATCGCATGTAGAAATAATCACGAGGAATAAATTGTTGTCAAATAATTAAGAATTTACTGAATTTCATATTTCATCAATAGATTTATTATAACACAATTTTATATCCAATATATGGATAGAAAAACAATAATTCATTAATTTTAAAATTGTAATCATTTTAACAATAACACAGTAATATATGATACTAAATTGATTCTATGTTAAAAGACTGAAGAGTACTGTATTTTATTTGCTTTAAGAGTAATTACATGCCAACACTTTTTTTTAATGTTGAATACGATTACTACAAGGTATTTGATTATATTACACACATGTAGGTAGCTAAATTGCCTATATCTAGCCCCGTATAAAAATAACCATTAAGGATTATTTCAAGATTAATTATAATATTCATTGATTAAGTACAATTAATAAACTTATGTTTCCTATATCTAAGTTAAGATTTAAGTAATATGTCTCATAATTTATGAAATTATTATTCATACTTGCCATTTTTAGAATATTTTTGAATATTCATCATTATTTCGCATTTNTTCATACTTGCCATTTTTAAAATATTTTTGAATATTCATCATTATTTGGCATTTTAGTAGCAATGCAAAATTTACATTCTTCCAAGTTTCATCTATTTGGTTAATAAATGAATAAAAAAATGTGTTCAACGTTTAATTTATGAATTACCAATCGCACATAATTTTTTAAGAAATAAAATAAAAATTATTCTTCCTAGAGTTATTTAAGTTAATAAACTAATTAGTTCATAGTTTAATTCTCATATATTACAACAAATTAAATTAAAACAGAAACTTAAACTTAATTCGAAAATATTATATAATATTATGTTTTCGGTCTCCGAGTGGACTGTATAAAACGTTTACTGTTAAATTAATAAAAACGACTTAAAACTTTTAATTTAGTTTATAATACTTTATTTCGTATATACATTTTGGGGTACGCGTCGTGACGTCTTTTGCGATAACGAGTTCATCGCCAAACTACTTTTTATACAATACAAAAGAAATCGGTACCCACCGGGGGTTAACGCTCTTGTCTGATTAACAATAACATTTATATTAACAAAATGGATCAAACAGTATCTAAGCACAGCTGGTACCCCTATAAATTTACTCAATAAGTTATGAGAGTATTGTAATCAAATTTGTATATTAAAAAATATGGTAATTTTTAAAATTAGTACTTTTTATTTTTATGACTATTTTACAATCAATAGATTATTAATTCCTTTTTCTTTTTCTATTTTCTATTCTTTGTCAATTTATGGTGCAATCAGGGACAAAAACATAATTTTTTTAAGTGGTCGAAAATTTCCCATTTTAGGGGTCTAAACTATTTTTTGGATCAAATTCCGATTTTTGAGCATTGGTAATTAGTCTATCTATTTGTATTTATTCAATGTTACATTATCGGTAAAATTTCAATTTCAAGTTATTGAAGGTTCAGCATTTATTCTATATAATTCTAATATATATAATATATATAATATTATAATATAATTAGATATTATATTTACTGTAATATATTTTTCATCATTGCCATTGTACTCTGCAATTTTTTTTCATATAAAATAATTATTTTACAATTAAAAATTAGTATATTTTTATAAATAATTAAATTTTAAATTTAATCAATTTTAGTTTCTAGTTAAGAAGAACTCCTAAAAGTAAAATTTTTCAATATCAGATAATGAAAATATTTACTCATAAATTTGAACACTTTAACAGTTGTTAAGTTAAAATTCTATCATTTTGTAAGTATAAACATAATATTACCAGAAAAATATTATGTGATTTTTTAAATTCATTTACCTGAAAAATAACTTAACACTATAGTTTAAAATAATTGATTATTTGTAACCCTAATATAAAATAATCCGCAAGATTACACATTAAATATTAAAAAGATAAACATGTAATATGTATTTTTTGAATTTTATTTTAAAATAATAAATTATATTTTTCAATGTTTAATAATTATTATTTCATATGAATGAGATTAGTACATCGAAAATGGACATGAATTGAAATCTCAGCAATTCAATAATTTTTATATACAAGTGTTTCTATAACTTCATATAAACATAATAGTAATAATTTTACCAAATAATTAGAATAATGGTTCAAAAAAACCACTAGAAGAGCACATACAATTTATTCACTAACATCCATAGGCATTGAATGATTGTCTCCAATTATTCCAGAACTGTCTCTTTGTACAGATTCATAAATTGTATTTAATTCAGGAGAATTTTTGATCTGACATACAAAATCACTCATGTGTGGATTTTTATCTAAAAAAAGAAATGAAATATTATATTATTAAAAATTAGTTTAACGTCTTAAATATATATATTTTTTTGTGGCCTTTATTACCAGAATCTGGAATTGTTTGTAAATTAACAACAGCACGCATAGCTGATCTTTTCAACTCTTCCATTTTTTCAAATTCTTGTTTTACAGAATTAGCTTTTATTTTCAACATACAAGTTTGCTTTAAAGGTTCAGCAATTTTATCAAGTCCTGAAATTTGTATTCAACATGAGAAATTTTTCATTAAAAAAATTTAATTAGATAAAATAAAATAAAATAATTATTACAACTTACTTTGCAAGACTGCACTTGGTACAATTTGAGCCATTCTTGATACCATGAGATAAGTAAGCATTTTAATATCATAATGATCACGAAGACCATTTTCCAAATAATTCAAATATTCAAATATGTCTAAGCGATCTAAACAAGAATCTAACAATGTGTACATGCATTCAAAAGCAGCTTTTCTAATGTCTAATCCGTCATCAACAGTGTGTTTAAATGGACCCATTTCTACTTCACGAATTAATTCTTTCTAAAATTTAAAAAAAAATTAAATTACACAAAAATGTATACGACAAGAAAATAATGAGTACCTTAACAATTGTTTCAGCATATAGTTTTGGTAGAACAGTATCAAGGAGATCTCTGACTAATGAAGGTTTGTTATGAGCAGCTGAATTAAATGCAATCAAAGTTACTCTTCTGACATTTATATCAGGATCGGTTAATGCACTTAAAAATTGGCCCATATTTTGCCGGAGTAACATGTCAATAGGTTGAGGTTGGTCTGATATTGTGAATTTCACAGCAGTTAGCAAAGTAGTTCTCATGAGTGCAGAAGATGAAGATAGTGATGATTGCAAATTAGGCAATAGATTGTATGGATCAATTAGAGTTAATTTCCCTAAACATTCTGCTACGACATTGCGTGTGCCTTCTTCAGTACATTCACAATGTTTAAATAACTGTTGCCAAATAGCAGGTACAAAAGGTTTTAAATTTTCTATGCCATTTGGAGTAGATGACTCGAACGTAATTATCTTACATAAATATATATAGGTAAAAAGTGATATTTTTTATATTTCAGAAAAAATTAGTAAATACTTTCATTATTTCTTACTTCTTTTAAAGAATGTAGTAACAAGTATTGCCGTTTTGGTTGCATGTCAATTTCTTCAAGTATAAATGGTAAATATTGCTCTAAGTTTCCAATAGATATGCTTCCTAAACTGTAGCTAGCGGAAGACTTGATTTCTTCTGAATTTGATAGGAATGATTGTAAAATAGTTTCTTTTAAATTTGGCACAGAACTTAAATCTCTATTGAAACAGTATATAAATTGTAAAAATTTGCATAACACAGTATCATAGAAAATTGTACATAGAACTTACATATGTCTTCCAACCTCACCAATAACTAAAAGTGAAAAAATATGCTGTTGGTCATTTGATGGATTAATTAATTCAGTCATAAAACTATTAATAATTCCCATAGCTTGTGTTGGTTGAGTAGCAGTCAAAGCAGCAACACATTTGGCTAATGAATGATAAGCCTACAAAAAAAACAAAAAGCAAATTAATACTTTACATTTAATAGAATCGAATTATAAGCTATTTACTTGTTTATGCAGTGTTAAAGTAGGTGTGCCTGTGGATTGAGCCATCAAGGGTGATACTAAGAGTGTAACTAGTTCTTGATATCCAAATTGGGGTACATTTGTAGCAACCAGAGATTGAAAGAATGATAAAATTGCATTCAAGGCTGCTCCTTGAAGCAAAGGAGATTTAGCCAATGTCATTACTTCTGGCATTATTATGTTTGAAGAGTATGACATTGCCAAAGGTTGAATTTTTATTATAGTTGTAAGCAAAGAAAGTGTTAGTTGAGCAATATGTAAATCTGATTCATTTATCAATTGTGGCAATTCAACAAGTATCTAAAAATAAAAAATAATTGGACAATATAAGATAACAGAGAAGTTCAAGTTTATACAAACCTTGTTTAATAATTCAGCGGAAAATTCAGCATGGAAGTTATTTAATAGCATATTTAGAAGAGATAATGTACTGAGTTTTAATGCTCTTTGATTTTTGCGAAGAAAAGAAGCCAAAATTAAAACACCATCATTCTAAGATCAAAAATCATGTAACAGTTATCACTTTTTAAGTTTTATTTAAAACTAAATTAACTTACTAAAATAGAAGATAAATTAATTTTTAACGGTGAGCCAGCTACTTTTATTAATGCTTTAACCGTTGTTAGTCTGGTGATTTCATTACGTAAACGATCCAAGAAAATAGGTAAACAGATTTGTAATTCATTTTGTAATACATCACCTAGATTGCAAATTATCTGTCCCATACATGAAATGGATCTCTCTTTGACTTCTTGATCGATATCAGATGTTTTTAAACGCGAGTAAGTACAATTATACAACTGTACAGCATAAACAGTAAAATCAAATTGTTGTTTACAATCTATAAATAGAGAAATCATAAGTTGTAATAGAAATTTATTTTTAACTACAAAAATTAAAATAAAATACTTACCTAATGGACGAATAACTTTCACCATTTCTTGTAATACTAGTAGTGCTTCAGCAGTTATTTTATAAAATGGATCTCCAACAGCTGTTACAATAGGAGGGATTAACTGATCTACCCATGGATGAAAAATTTCTGGTGGATGTGAGGTTAGCACACAATAAATAAATGACAGTGTATCAATTTTCATATTACTACTTGATTTTTTATCACTAAACATATATCAAGATTTAAAAAAATAATTTTTTTTTTTTTTTTTTTTCATGAATTACCTTAATGAAAATTGAATACCAGGGATTAGAGTTCCAATATGATTAGTTAAGGCACCAGGAAGAACAATAACAAGTTCTTTTAAGAGAGCTAGACAATCAGTGCGAGTTTTTACACTTCTTTCCTTCATTTGTGTATAAATTGCTTTAACAATGGCAGGAACCTATGTAATGATTGGTTTAAATTTTATGATATTGCAATTAGTATTTTTAATATCTTTAAAATAAAATATAAATACATACTTGAGACTGTAAAAGATACATAGCAGAATCTTCATCAGCAATATCGGCACTAAAATTATTGCTGGTTAGCTTAGTCTGTTTTAACAATGCCATATAAACATGTAATATGTCACTTTTAACATTTTCTTCTCTTTCTGCAATTAAAAATAATAATTTTATATTCCTGGTTAAAGTTACTATTACAAAATACATATAGCTTTTAATAACAATACCTATTATTAATGATTAAGCAATAAGGAATATAAAATAAATTACTTTTACTGTCAGTAAATTATTGTTTCTATATTATTTTAGAGTTAAAAATAAGTCAATCTTTGAAATTATAACCCCTAATAATTCTCTAAACCTATAAGTCTTGAATCATTTGTCAGACAGACACTCAACTTGTTTTAAGGAATAATGGGGATAAATTTATTAAATAAAATGAAAGACAATATGTTTGCATACTGAATAAAGGTGGAGTGAATGGTCAAAGACTTTCTCAATGAAAATTGAATGTGTGATAGCATTTTTCATCACACAGATTTACTATACACTTCATTTTGATCACAGAGACTTGCTTTACATAATAATTACATGAATTTGAAAAAAAAAAAATTATTCTTTGACCTATAGTAACTTATAACTTTACTTTCTGGTCGTAACTTGTATGCATATTTTTTAAGTAGTATTTAGTAATCTAATTTACGCCACAATATTTACCTTTAAATCTTTGTATTAATGACTTAGAAACACTTCTGTACATATCTGAAATTAAATCTTTTCTGGTAACAATAATTCCTTCTAAACATTTGGCAGCTGCTCGTCTAACTTTCCAACTCATATCATCATCATCAGAATAGTCATCTTCATCATCTTCATCCTCTAAATCATCTCCATCATTTGTATCCATAAAATTATCCTCACCATTTTCACCATTATCATCATAATTGTAGTTAGGATCATATGCTAAATACTCTAAGCATAATTTAATAATATCATTTGTATAAGCTGCTGTTTCACTAGGGCAACGATTAACAAATGCATCAAAAGCCTGTAAACAGTACTCTCGTAACTCATCATCTTCAGCACTGCCTTCAATTAATGGTGCTTGAATTAATGGAACCACACGATCTATGTGAACACCAAAACGATGGCCAGCTTGTCGACTACATTTAAAAATATTGTTAATACAATTATTATTAAAAAAAAAAAAAATTCTTAGAAACTGACCATATAGCTGCTATACATTGAATTGATGTTTTAGACCTAGCTGCTGGTGCTTTAGTAGACAAGTCATTAACGAGGTAATCTATAAGTTTACTATACAGTTGCTGATTACAAGATAGCACTAAATGTCCAAGAGCAACAATTGTTCTGAAAAATTAAATTAAATTTAAATTAAGCTAAAATGCATAATTGGTAACTTTTTTAGCTAAAAATTGTTAGTATATATTTATAAAAATAAATATTTAATCAATTTTGTTATATTTACCTTTTTCTCACAGCTTGCCTTGATGAAGTAAGTTGTGGTAATAATGATTTAAGAATTGCCTGATGAAATTCAAGTAACAATGATCCAAATCTAGATAAGAGATCTGCAAGTATGTCTAAAGCTTCTAATTGAACAGAAACATCTTGCTGCAAGAATAAATAATTTAATAATATAAAATAAGTAACAACTCATAAAATTAAGTTAGAAATCTACCTTTTCAATAGCACTAGTAAGTTTGCCTGTAATTCTTCTACACACATTAGCAGCCAAGTATGTATTGGTTATAGGTAATTCACTGATAACAGTTTTTAATCCAATACTACAAATATCTCTTAGTTGTTCATTTTCAGATATCATATTAGTACAAAGAGCATCAACAATGGTTTCTACTTGATTTTCTTTAACTTTGTTTACAAGAGGACCCAAGCTAAAATATTATGTATTTTATTTACTCTTTATATGAAAATACATTACACTACTTAAATGTTGTTAGAAAATAGAAAATATTATACTTGAATTATTATTAAAAAAAAATTAATTTTTTTAATATAATTTAACACACAATTTTGTCATTTATATAGTAATTAATTTTATAGTAATATATTTAATTATCAATCCCAACAGATGTTAAATAAGCTAGGTATAAAAACAAGTTAATACATTTATATTGTGTATAAGTAAATTGATACAAAATTTACCACTTCACAGCAAGATTTTGTACTTCTCCATTTTTGTCTTCCAATAGCCTCAAAAGCATTTTAACCACTTTACGTTCTGAATCATCATCCAGTTTAATACTATCTTTTTGTAATTCTGACATAAGATCATTAGTAGCCATAAATCGGAAGTCTTTATCACTCGAAGTCATCTGAAAAAGTGTTCATATACATAAGAAATATGATTACTTGGCTATTAATAAAATTTAATTCTTTACTTTCTCGAGTAAATGAGCTATTTGGTAAGAAACGTTAGCCATGATGATTATTTAGTTATTTAAAATGTCAACCCAACATAAATTAATACTATACTATGAAGGTAAAAACAAGTGGGCTACACATAAATTACGCATTAAATAATATTATTTCCCATTAAATGAGTTTTTCACTTCACTATAAATTTTAATTTAACTTCAAGATAAATTACATATACAAATAACACACGGTGAATCGGCAACTAGCTAGTGAAGTAAAATTTTTGTTGTGTAAAAAAACTGATTATAATTTTATATTCTCCTCGAAATTTATGAGATTACCATGGTTGCTTTATTGATTTATGTTATCATTAACTAATGGTTATTTGGCTGTTGTGTATTTACGTTTTTCCCTAATCAAAATAACATACTGGCTTTGACATGTAGTTTTTTATGAATCGTTGATGCACACTATTTTTAAAGTACTGTGTCGTTTAAAAATCCGCACAACGTATTTTATAAGAATTAAATTCATACATAATTTTAAAAGATGGTTAAGTTAACTACAGAACTTATTATGAATTCCTATCAGTTCATTAATCCGGTCAAGGATAGAGAATTAGATTTACGAGGTATGTTAAATGTATAATGTGTATAGAAAATATGTTTGTTTACTTCTAATATACTCTTTTATTATTGTTAAAAAATGTTAATATCCTTCTTATAAAATCTCTAACTTTGGTTATCTTATCGTAGTTTAATTTTGATAAATTTATCTAGCACTTTCAACCTATAACAATATATTAAGATTTAAATAATTTAACAAAAAAATGTCCAAAAAGCCTCTCTTTACTATTAGCTGTACTTAAGAATTAAATTGTTTTTACGATAATCATTTAAATTTATACTTGAATTAGTCAGTTCAAAAACTTTAGGAGTCACAAAAATTGAAGTATATATAATCTTGATAGCTATAACTACTTAAAATGTCCAATTTGAATTGATCTATATGTCATATGGATTTTACATAATTAAATGTATACATATATATTAGGGTGGCCCTCAAAAATCAAATGTCTTTCTTTTTTTTACGCTACCCCTTAATTGTTATTTAATGGTCATAAAAATGAGCTGTGCTAAATTTGGGACCGATCCATTAAGGTTAACCCATGCCCCAGACCTATTAAATTGAGTTGAAGAGGCAAATTTAATAGAAATAACTAAACTTAGAATTATGAAATTAAAACTCAAATAAAGGAAATTTTACAAGAAATTCAAAAATAATAACTTCAATGTTATTTTCTTAATAAATAGCCCACAAAAACATTACATACAGTAAAAGTACATTATAACTGATTTTGTTTATTTTTATTTATTTATTTTCATTTTATTTATTGGAAAACGCTTATTCGTTCAAAAATCGTAAAAGTTAAATTTTTTATGCCAAGTACGATAATTATGCTAGATTTATTATTTTATTGATAGAAAACAAATCTGATTTTACTATAACAATTTTATTTTATGAAATACTTTACTTGTTATTAAACATTTTTTATTTATTTTGTTTAAAATAATAACTTTAGTACAAAAATGTTTTGTTTATGTACTTTTTTTACTTAATAAAGGATCAATTTTCAAAAAATCAGTGTTTAAACTATTTAATCAGATTAAATAGTTTAAAAGAATCCTACATTTTTTTGATACAAAATATTCAATATTCTTTTTTACAAAATTGGTTATATTGGATTGGTTTAATTTCTAACGTTTTGTTGTCTAACTTGATGTTGAATTAAGATGAGTGGCCATTTTTCTTTTAATATTAACATCTTTTTATTATCAAAAAATGGATTGTGGACTTAAGTATCATAAGTGATTTACAAATTTAGAAAGCGCAACTCGATGTATTTAACAAAATTCAAATCATTATATGGTGCTGTAAACCACATTTCAACATAAATTAGTACCAAAAACAAATAAACATCACAAAATCCTTGTGTTTCCTACTAGTAAGTTTAAATTTGTCTCCTAAATATATATAATTTGAGACTATGAATGGCCATGGTCATCCATCAAGCATGATGAATAACACCTGGCTTATGAAAAAATAAATTATGACTCTTTACACCCAAAAAAAATTAACGTTAAATCGAAGAATTCTTTAAAGTCATTCTTTTGTTGTCAAAAATTATTATCTTCTGAAGTTCCAGTCCTATAATTGCTTTACTATTTCTTTAAAAAATATAGGATTTAAAAATTTCTTTATTTAAATCATTCCAAGCCTGCTGAAATAGTTTGAAATTGGCAAGCTTTTACCAGTAGTACAACTAATTTTACTATCGCCAATGCTTTTGAGCAGTTTCAAATATATGGTGGCAGCAAGGTAAATAAAGTGATTCTTTTTCTAAAAGTTGTTCCAACAAAACACAAGTACCTCCTAAATTACCACTATTTACAGCAGTTGTATCAAAAGATAAAGCCTTTACTGATTTATTTGTGTTCCATTGTACTAAAGTTTCATACAGCAATAATGCTTGATTTTTAGACAAAATGTAATAATACATTGATAGGCCCAGGGACAAGGGTTAACCTTAATGGATTGGTCCCAAATTTTACACAGCTCATTTTTATGACCATTAAAAAACAATTAAAAGGTAGCATAAAAAAAAAAAAAAGACATTCGATTTTTGAGGGACACCCTAATATATATATAGGAACTATATATAATATACTATAAAATAAAATAATTAATGTGGTTAGTCAAATAACTGTTTTATTTATTTTTATACTGATAAATTTGTTACAGGTTATAAGATTCCATTAATTGAAAATATGGGAGCTACACTCGATCAATTTGATACTATAGACTTTTCTGATAATGATATTAGAAAAATTGACGGGTTTGCTTATCTAAGAAGATTGAAAAACTTAATATTTAATAACAATTCAATTGTGTAAGTTGATTATGCTGTTAAAATATAAATTTATGAATGTAGTTGTTTTTATTAGTATTCATAATTATTTTTAGTCGAATTGCTGATAATCTTGAGCAATGTTTGCCAAATTTAGAATCATTAATTCTTACTGGCAATCAAATTCAAGAGCTTGGAGATTTAGATCCACTGGCAACACTACCTAAATTAAAGATGTTAAGTTTATTACATAACCCAGTCACGTCAAAAGAGCATTACCGACTTTATGTTGCACATAAAATACCTCAAGTGAGAATACTAGACTTCAGGAAAGTGAAATTAAAGGTAATTTAGTCTGTATAAATGATCAAAAATAATTGTAATTTAAAATGGTATTTTATGAATATGAATAGGAATATGAAGCAGCCAAAACACTATTCAAAGGAAAAGAAGGAAAAGAATTAAAAAAAAAATTAGTGAAAAAATCAAATCAATTTGTCCCTGGTGAAGGATTACTCGAGGGCAGGAAAACTAATGGTACCTAGATAATCAAATTTTTAATGAAGTCAATATTTATTTACTAATTCTTAATATATAAAAATTTATATTTCTTTGAATTTTTAAGTAAATAACATTGTTGTGTTAAAATTCAGCTTTATTATGTTCTTATTCAGTTAGTTTTTATTATATTTTATTATTTTAGGACATTCTAAGGAAGATATGTGGATGATTAGAAAAGCAATAGCTGAAGCAACATCATTAGAAGAAGTTGAACATTTAACTAAGTTATTGCAGGCTGGACAAATACCTAACAAAGATCCCAAAAATAAGTCCAAGAAACAGAATGGTGATGGTAATTATACAATCACCAACTAGTACTATTTGTTCTTATTTTCAATAATTTTTTTTTATAATTTTTTAGAAGAAAATGTTGAAGAGTTTGATGATGATGATGATGAAAATGAACCAACATCAATGGAACATTAATATATTTATTATTTAAAGGTTTTGCCTTTAAATAATTTTATAATATATATATATATAAATATTTTTTTAAATAAGCATCAGTTTATTAAATGATAAGAACAGATATATATTACTTTTGATCTATTAGTTGATTGCACTTTCCAGATAGCATGATATATTTATGCTGTATATAGATATATATATCTTATATTATTTCCTGAAGACATTTGAAACTTGCTAACTCTATTTAAATTGAATAGTATATCCAAAATAGTTTGCTATTAATTAGCATACATAATATTTGTTTATTTCTTACTTTTACTATAAAAACACCTTGTATTAATGAAATGAAAAAGAATAATATGAAAGGTTACATTCAGTTATTTTCCATTAATGTACATAGAATATTTTCATAAGAGTTATTCTTGAAAAATGAATTTTTTATATTTTCCAGGTAAGTATTATAGTAGTCTATGTACAATAAGTAATCAAACCTCCACAATAATAAAAAGTGTTGGCCAGTAATCTTGTTTTTATAATTTTAAAATACATGAACAATAAAATCAAATTACATGAAAGTATAATATCTGCAACAAAATATTACATTATTATTGAACCATAACTTTATTAGATGAATATCATAACTTACAATAAATCTATAAGTAGTTTACTTTATTTTTATGAAAAAATGTACAAAAAAATTAAATAATACATAATTCACAAACAAAATTTCCAGTGTATCTACATCTTAAATGCATTTGATGATATCTCAGATGTTTTAACAAATAAAGTCAAAATTTAATTATTACATAAACTATTTAAATTTGTTATCACTCATGTCAATATATGTTTTATAAATTGATTAATCAAACTTGCATATATAAACAAAGTATTAAGCTGACAATAATATTACTTTTTACCAATAGATCTTCTACCTGATTTTAACCAATGATTTGTTGAATGTAATATAAAGGGAAGTACATGTGGATGTGATAGTATTTCACTGGCATCTGGCCTGTTAGTTGGATCATGGTTTAACAGTTCAGACATAAGCCGTACTAAATCTGCATCATAATAATTAATAGTTTTCAAAGGATTGAAAACACCTTCTACAATACACGAGACTACTTCAGCTAAACTCTATAAATTAATTTTAATTTTGGTAAAATTTAAAACAAATTCCTGTTGTAACAACATACCTGTCCATAAAATAGATGCTTCATAGACATCAAATAATATAAAACACAACCAACTTGCCAGATATCACTTTTTAGTCTCAAAGGTTTTCCACAACATTGTTCTGGAGACATATAGCAAGGAGTACAGTTGTTTCCACTTGAAACCTTATCACTACATAACATTAAATGCATTAAAAAAAAACCTAGCACAGTGAGGACGTGGTATAGTTGGATCCAGTATAGATTATATCTGACAATGATTAAAATCACAAGCAATTCAACATAGTATGAAATTGATATTTAATAATTTGGCATTGTAATTTTTTTTGGAGAATTTATAAAAAATTATTACTTTTATGACAAACGTGTATAAAAAGTAAAGGGCTTGACACAGAACTTTTTAGATAATAATTTGTTGTTAATAATGAATAAATGGTCTACAAAAAATGTTCAGCAGAGCTAAAAAGATACTTTTATTATTCAATTTTTTGTGCTAATTTCAAATCAGCAATTATATGTTTTCCATCACCAATAATTTTTGATATTATTACTAATTAGTTAAAAACTATAGAATATAACTATAAAAAAAATAATTCTGAATATTTCAATTGTATCATCTGTTTAAACACCAAAAATCACATCAAATTATTAATATTTATGAATAATTTTTTTTTGAAATGTTTCATTACAATAAAAAAAAATAATTAAAAACAAAAAATTGTTTTTAAATTATTACAGATTTTAATTTTTAATATTTTAAAGTTTATATAAAAAAAAAAGTTGAATTTCAAACTTCAAGTTTGATATTTACATCATTAAATAAAAAATTTTATGAGAATAAAAAAATAGTATTTTTAAGATTAATAATATGCAGGAAATTGTATAATAACTATTTACTGTACATTTATCAGAAAAGGTCAAAATTTTATTTTTATTGTAATAGACCACTTAAATAGAAATCATAGTAATCATTTCCAAGTAATTTTTGGTGACTAAAAATATTCTACAATTGAAATATTCAGAATATCATTAATTTTAATGATTTACTTTAACTAAAAAAACCAATTAAAATGTTGTTAAAAAAATCTACTCAGTTAAGTGTATAGTTGTGATCATTTGATGTATTGATAAAAAAAGGTGGTCAAAGGACACCACCTAAAAGAATAAATGAAACACTTAAAAAAAAAAAAAAACTTTAATATGAATAAGAAATTTCTTCAATTGAGGGAGGACTACAGTGATGGGGACCTTGATATTTATTAAAGTTATTGAATCTAAATAAGATAAAAATCAAATAATTTAAACATTTTTTCCTAACTCAAAAACTTTTGTAAGGTAATTTAAAATAAAATAAAATATAAAATCGAAAATTTTAACACAAAAATAGCATACTGTAGACATTATAACCATAAAGACAAAATGAGGTTAGAAATTTTTTTCTATACTAAAGTATATTACATAAGCTTTAATTTAAGGTATATATCAAAATGTTAGTATTTCCGGAACACTTTCAAAAGTTATTTTTTTTGTGAAAAGTTGTTATTTTGAATCCCCTTGTGGGCAGGTAAAGAATCAGATTAGTAAAAAAAATATACAAAATGTTAGGTAATTATCTCATGATCATTAAAAAAAAATTATATTGATTTGGCCTTTTGTAACAAGTTATGACAATTTTAAGTAAAAAAAAATGTCGAAAATGAGCAATTTTAAAATTTGTAAATTATTTGAAGATTTCTCCCATTTACAGGAAACGAGGGAAATTTTTTTCCATTTTTGAGGTTAATGTCTTCGACTATATACAATTTGTGATCTTTTGACGTATCATTGAAAGAAATCGGTTTGGTAAAAACTGAGAAAAGTGGTAACAAACACAAAAAAAAAAAAATAAATAAAAAAACCCAGCACAGTGGGGTCGCGGCATAGTGGGGATGTTGCATAGTTGGGTCCAGTATAGATTTAATCTGACAGTGATTAAAATCACTATCATAAGAAACGCTTCGATGCAAATCAGTAGATAGTGTTTAATTCTAAGAAATTGGTGGATAATTACAAAAGCTACATTATCTGCTAGTTTCTTATTAATACCCTGATTAAGATAAAGTATGTCGAATGAAAAAGGGATTATTAAAAAATATTATTTCTCATAAAAAAATTGTGTTGATTCGTACACTTTTCAATGAGTTATAGCATTATAAAGTTAAAAATGTAACCAACCCAACCCAACATCAACTCCTATTTCCTTAATTATATCCAGATTAGTAATTATTTTAATTATATATTATATAATTTTTATAATTAATTATTTTCAAATTATTATTGATTTTTAATATGTTAAAAGTAATCATTTTGAACCTACTTCTTTTTGTTCTTTAAAGTGAAAGTTTTAATAAAAAAAAAATGAATTTATTACCATAACTTTTAACTCAACTTGCAAGTTTGAAATAAATATTATTAAATAGAAAAAAATGAAATTGGTAGATTATTTCAAAAACAACAATAACACTTATTCCCTTAATTTTACCCCGATTTATAACTATAATATATGAATACATAATAATTACAGTAATTAAATTGAGTATGAAAGTGGTATTCAATAATATAATATTGTAATTTTTACGGAGATATTATAAAAATAAAAAGGAGTTGTATATTCATATACTTTTAATGCGTATACAAATTTAAAGGAATTTATGCAATACTTTTTAATAAAAAAATTTTGTTACTTATGAATAAATACACTAAACAAAAGGAACTTTCATCAGAAAAAAAATATACTTTTCTAAATAAACTTTTCGTGATGTTTTCAAATGTGCAATTAAACTTTTTCTATTACTTCTAAGTTTTAATATTATTACTTATTATTAAAAAATAAGTATTTACATATAAAAAAAAATAATTAAGAACAAAAAAAATTGTATTAAATTAATACTGATTTTGATTTTTAATATGTTAAAGGTAATCATTTTGAACCTATTTTTTATTGTCTTTTAAAGTGAAAGTTTTAATGAAAAATACCTTCTCAGCTTCGCATCGAAGCTAAAAAATGAATTTGTTACCATAACTTATAGTTCAACTTGCAAGTTTGAAATTGACATTATTAAATTGAAAAAAATGAAATTTTTAAGATTAATATGCAATCTGGAAATTTTATAATTACTAATTACAGTACATTTGTCAGAAAAATTCGATTTTTTTACATTTTTATCGTAATAGATAACTGAAATAGAAAGAATAGTAATCATATCCTAATAACTTTTGGTGTTTAAAAAAATTCTGCAATTGAAATATTCAGAACTTAATTAATTTTAATAATTTACTTTAATTAAATGAACCAATCAAACCAAAGTAGTTAAAAAGATTTACTCAATTGAGCATATTATCAAAAATATAATTATAATTGTAAAACTCCATCGTTAACTTCAGGTGAAACTAAAAATCATTTTTTTTTTAAATTTATGATTTATATAGCAAAATATTACTAAAAAATTTGGCATATTATAGACTGGTAGTAGCACACAGAAATAGAGTTAAAAAATTAATAAATTATAAAGTAAAATTATTTACTTTTGTAGTTGAATACTTTTATCATATCAAATTTAATTCGACAATAAATAATTTAAGAATATTAAAAATTAATGATTTTAATTGTTTGTATGGACAAATCTAGTTAAGCTACTTTTTATTTGAATAAGGAATATTTTTTTGATTTTTAAGAGTAATAACTTAAACTAATCATTAACTTAAATATCATAAACTTAAATGAATCATTTGACGTATCGTTGAAAAAAGTAGGTCTAGTGAGGGTTGGCAAAATAAATCGTAGCCAGAAAAAGAACCACATAGTAAAATAATATTAACATGAATATCAATTTCTTCTCACGAGGGGAGACTATAGTGATAAGATCCTTTATATTTATTGAAATTATTGAATCTAAATGAGATAAATATCAAATGATTTGAAAATTCTATTCTAACTCAAAAAAAAAATGCAAAATTTTAGAAGCCACAAACGGATTTGAACCTCGTACCCTAGGCGTTAAAGATCAAGGTGTTACCCATTCGGCAACTATTCGTTGATTTTTGTTGCATGATAAAATTGGCTATTTAAGCTAACTCAAATTTAAAAATTACTTTTTCGACTTTAAAAAAGTAAAAAATGTTAATAAGTATAATATCATATGTCTTATGAACTTTATTCTATGTCAATGAAATTATATAATATTCATGAAAGTCAGTTTATTCCCCTAATAAAATATTTTAAAATAAAATAAAATACAAAACCTAGAATTTTAATAAAAAATAGCATATTTTTAAATACGGTAGCCTTTTGCGCATAGAAGATAGGTCGTCGGGACAAATTTTTTTTTTTCATTTAGTAGTACATAAAATAAGCTTTAATTTGATATATGTTTAAAGGACGCAGTATTTCCGGAACATTTTCAAAAATTAAGTTGAAAAAGTTAGTTTTTGTAAAAAAGTTGCTATTTTAAATCCCCCCTGTGAGCAGAATAAGTGTTAGATTTTCAAAAAAAAATGATATCAAATGAAAGAAAATTACCTAAGGTTTCAATATAAAGAAATATTATTTTGATTAGTTAATATTTGAAAAAGTTATGGCAGTTTTAAGTACAAAAAACATCGTTATAAAAGGTGATTTTTATCGCAAATATTACATTTTTTTTATAATTTCGACAGCCATTTGCACATAGAAGATAAGGTGTCGGGACAAATTTTTTTTTTTCATTTTATAGTACATAAAAAAAGCTTTAATTTGATATATGTTTAAAGGACGCAGTATTTCCGGAACATTTTCAAAAGTTCAGTTGAAAAAGTTCTATTTTTTATACAATGTTTCAAAGTTTGAACCCCCCCTATATAAGGGGAAATTGTCTAATTTTAATAAAAAGTATGTCAAATGGAAGATGTACTTATAATGTATTTAGAAAAAAAAAAATTGTGCTGATACATGCATTTTTCGAAAAGTTATAGCATTTTTAAGTTGAAAATTAAAAATTGAAAATCGAAAATTTTAACACAAAAATAGTGTTTTTTTAACTACGGCAACCGTTTACATGCAGAAGATAAAGTGTCGGGACAAATTTTTTTTTTTCATTTTATAGTACATAAAATAAGCTTTAATTTGATATATGTTTAAAGGACGCAGTATTTCCGGAACATTTTCAAAAATTAAGTTGAAAAAGTTAGTTTTTGTAAAAAAGTTGCAATTTTAAATCCCCCCCCATGAGCAGGTTAAGTGTTAAATTTTCAAAAAAATTATATCAAATGAAAGGAAAATATCTAAGGTTTTAGTTTAAAAAAAAATTATGTTGATTTGTTGATTTTTGAAAAAGTTATGGAAGTTTTAAGAAAAAAAAGTGAAAAAAATGACAAAATTTGTCGATTTTTAAATTTGTAATTTTTTTGGATATTTCCCCCATTTGCGGGGAACGAGGGAAAATTTTTAAATTTTTAAGGGTAATGTCTTCAACTAGATACAATTTGTGATCTTTTGACGTATTGTTAAAAGAAATCGGTCCAGTGAGAGCTGAGAAAAAGTAGTGACAGACACAAAAAAAAAAATAAAAAAATAAAAAAATAAACACATCATGGTAAAATTAATACCTTCTCAGCTTCGCATCGAAGCTAAAATATATAGTAAAATTAATACCTTCTCAACTTTGCATCAAAGCTAAAAGAATCTAGCCTTTTTTGAAATTTGCTTAATATACTTGCCTATTTAATAAATGAGAAGAACCAAAATCACCAAGTTTTACAACAGTTCCTTGACTTCCAGTTAATAATATATTCATAGGATTAATATCACGATGTATTATTTTCATTTTATGTATATAATTAACTGCCATTATAAGCTGACTAAAAATATTTAGTACACACTAAAAAATAAAATTATGAATTGTCCATTAATTAAAAAAAAAAATTATACAATATAAATTTACCATCAAAAAACTTATCTAAAAAGTTATTATTAAAAAATATAAAATTCTAAAGTACATTTTATTTCTTTCTTCCCAATTATTTTAAACAATTTTTTCTTAAATTATCAACCTATTTTTTGTTTATTTTAGCCAAGTTTTAAGCAAAAAAATTATTAACATATCCAGGATAAAAGAAAAAATTAAGTCACTTCCAAAACAAACATTTAAATCTGTACTTAGATTTGTCACTACTAGTAAATTAAAATTATTGAGAGACAAAATTGCAAATACTGCATATAATTTGATCCTACTAAAATAAATTGGGCTATAGAGAAATCAATATTAACCAAATTTTAACTAATTTTTTTTAGATTTATTAACTATGAAAAAATATTGACTTACACTTTGTGCAATATGATCAGATGAAAGAGAACATTTACTGACAAAATTTTCAAGAGAACCATGAGTTGCATATTCCATTACAATGTGAAAATTTTGTTCACTTTGGAAACTTTTATAGTATTTTATGATATTAGGATGATCCAACATTTCAAGAATATGAGTTTCTTTAATAGCTTCCTAAAAATATTACATAATTAAATTTGTGAAATGAAAAGTTTACTATTTACTTATAATTACTTTCAAATCTTCTGTAGACATTGATTTTATATAAATGGTTTTCACAACAACTAACTTTTTTAAATTGAAATCTCTAACTAACTCAACTACTCTATAATAAAATAAAATCCATGATTTTATTATTTATGTTCTAAGAATTAATTTTAAAGTTAAATAATAATGAGAATCACTTAAAAATTCAATACATGTTTATTAATATGTTTTCAATATAAGTATTAAAAGGTGAACAATATAAAGAGTAACTATAAAACAACTTCACTTTTTAAATTAAATCTTTTTTCTGTTTTATAAAAAATATATAGAAACAGCTAATGCAAATTATTAAATATTGTATTTATATTAAACTAATTTACACTATTTAACAGTAAAATTGTGAAACGATATTTTAATAATTGGCATGTTGTTATTAACATGACTCCTTAAATATAGGATTGTAATAATTCAAATTGTTAAATAATCATACCCAAAAGCTCCTCGACCAAGAACACCAACTACGTTGTAAGAATCCATTTCCAAAACTTTTGATATATTTTATATTGTTTTAAAAATTAATGAATTTTATAAGAGTATTAATTATATATAATTTAGATTGAATTTTAAATATTAGTTACAATAAATTATATAAGATTATAAATAACATTTGTAAACAGAAAACATTTATAAAAATAAAAGATAAGCCACAGATGACAACAAATCGAATTACGAAACACATATTTTAAACTGTAGTGTTGTTAAATAGAATAATTAAGTAAAAAACCAATCCAGAAATAGATAAATGATAACAACCGTCAATTCAAATAGTTATAAACTTTCTATCAATGAAATAATGATAATTACTTACTATATTAAATAATTATAAAATTATTATTTTTACTATAACTTATATTGTAACATAGTGTTTTTTTTAATTCATGGTTGTTATTTATTAAACATAATTATTTTCAAATTATACAACCCAATTCGATATTTATACTACGGTAGAAGTATACATATTAATGATCATTAATAAAACTTCATTAAAAGGTAGTGTCTTTAAGGACATACAATATAAATACAGGCTTCATAAAATATGGATATTACTAATCGGCTCTTTATATATACAACTGCTTCAATAATGTGCAATTAATAATGTAAACAAGTTTTTATTGTTTGAAAACAATATAAATATCTTAGATTTGAAATGAGTCTTGGAGCAAAGCTATTCCAAATTTCAAATTATCTCCTTTCCCAAAATTAAGAAAAATTATATATATGTAATGCAGTAATAATTTTAAAGAAGGGTAAATTAAATAATTTTATCTCCTAATTTTTTTTAATTCCGTTAATGGTCTTAGACAGGATTCGACGTGCTGGGTTCAAAAAATAATTTTTTGTAATTTTTCATTTTAACTACTAAATAAAATATCAAAATTAACACACAACACATAAGGGAAATATATATTTTTTTATTTTTATAAGTAATTTATTTATAAAAATACCTAAGCTGCCCAAATTATAAATACATTTTATATTGAAATTATTTATTTATATCAACGGAAAGGGGCACCTGTAAACTTGAATCTATAAATATAATACAAGTATCAAAATATAAAATAAACATCAAATAGTTATACAAAAAATACGATTAATGTAAACAGACATATTAATAAAAACTTAAGATAATTACTTAGATGTCCTACTTTTAAATTAAATTAAACAAAACCCAGCACAGTGGGGTGGCGGCACAGTGGGGTCGTGACATAATGGGGTCCAGTATAGATGATATCTGACAATGATTAAATTCACTATCATAAAAAACGCTTCGATGCAAATCTGTAGATAGTGTTTAATTTAAAGAAAAAAAAATTTGTCAAAAAAGTAGGTCTAGTGAGAGCTAAGAAAATAAATGAGGCTACAAAAAAAAACCACGTAATAAAATAATATTAATATGAATTTCTTCTCCCAAGAGAANAGTGAGAGCTAAGAAAATAAATGAGGCTACAAAAAAAAACCACGTAATAAAATAATATTAATATGAATTTCTTCTCCCAAGAAAAGACAANATGAGGCTACAAAAAAAAACCACGTAATAAAATAATATTAATATGAATTTCTTCTCCCAAGAGAAGACTACAGTAATGGGATCCTTGATATTTATTGAATCTAAATGAGATAAAAATCAAATGAGTTAAACATTTTTTTCTAACTCGAAAAGAATTAAGAAAAAATTCAGTGCCACAGGAGTGAAAGATCCAAGTGTTACCGTTTCAGAAACCGTACGTCCTATTCGTCACTTAATAAAAATAGAAATTTAGCTAGTTCAAATTTTAGTTATTTTTCTCGACTTCAAAGAAACAAAAAAATTTAAATAAGTTTAATTTCTGTACTATGTCAACTAGATTGATGTAATATTTATGAAAATCAGTGTAATCCTCTTATAATAAAATAAAATACAAAACCAAGAATTTCAACACAAAAATAGCATATTTTTGAATACTGTAGCTATTTTCATCATAAAGACAAAATAAAGTCCAATTTTTTTTTTTTTTTATATTAAAGTATATTACATAAGCTTTAATTTAAGATATATATAAAAGTGTCAGTATTTCTGGAACACTTTCAAAAGTTAAGTTAAAAAAGTTAATTTTTTGTGAAAATGTAGTCATTTTGAATCCCCCTGTGGGCTGGTAAAGGGTTAAATTTATAAAAAAAATATACCAAATAATAGGTAAAATATCAAGCACCTATACAAAAAAAAATTATATTGATTTGTTTACTTTTGAAAAAGTTATGGCAGTTTTAAGAAAAAAAAATTTCGAAAATTAGCGATTTTTAAATTTGTAATTTTTTTGGAGATTTCCCCCATTTACGGGGAACGAGGAAAATTTCTTTTTTTGAGGGTAATGTCTTCGACTAGATACGATTTGTGATCTTTTAACGTATCATTGAAAGAAATCGGTTCGGGGAGAGCTGAGAAAAAGTAGTAACAGACACAAAAAAAGACACATCATAGTAAAACCAATACCTTCTCAGCTTTGCATCGAAGCTAAAAATAGATTCATTTGAGGGATGACAAACAGTTTTACTAATATAATCTACATTATTCATTTTGTTACATTCTCGGTATATTCGATTTAAGGGTTTATTATAGCCTTATAACGTACGATGAATTGTAGTAAAGAATGTAAGTCAATAACGATATAAATGTTGAGAAACAAATGATAATTTGTTGTAATAGATCAGGGGCATGATAGTTTGCCATCTATACGTTTACACATGAAAAAAATATCAATATACTTACATTTGTAGACAAGTGTTTTTTAATTAAGGCTACTTTGTATATTATATATTGGTAAATCCAAATAGTAATCACTGGGGTTACAACTTAATATTGCAACGTAGAAATCGTCTTAGAATCCTACGATGTGATTAACCAGAGAAGGATTCCATAGAACGGAACAGTATTTCAAAAATATAAAAATCCGCTTAATATTTCTAAAATTTGATTATTAACAATCATTAATTATAAATGATTTTTTCAGTTTTCAAAGGTAATTGATGATTCTCTCTAAAAGAAAAATTATGATTAATTAATTTAAACTTTCAAGAGATACATAATATTTATTTATTTATTTAGTTTACTGGATGTATCCCTTTTTTTACAAGCTATGTTTACATATTTAATTTTAACTAAATTGAGAGAAAGATACAAAAACAAACAAAAAATACATAAAAACAAATAACAAAAGACAAATCAAAAATGTTTACAACTAATAAAACGAAATACAAATATTATTATTATATAAAATTAGGATCCGCATTAGCACTTCTAAGTAACCGGCGAAGGGTAAAATTAAAACTATATTAAAAATATTATGCTCAAAGCCACAAAAAATTAATGAAAAGTCGCGGATACGTATTTCGGAATCAATGATACCATTATCAACGCTAAACACATACTGACACTCCGACTAGATATACTAGGGGTATATAAGGAAACTTCCTTATATACCCCTAGTGACCTTATCACCTAGTGACGTCATCACTAAGTAATATTATCACATTTTGCCAGTTTACACAAGTTTAATAATGAATTTTTCAGTGGGCCAAGATCCCAATTAATTAAATTGTTTTTATTTTTAAACATTTCTATTGCTTCTCTGATATTAAGTTCTTTGTAATTATTTACGTTTTTAATTAGTTTTATGGTTTTAATAGAGTGATTATGTGTCAATAAATGTTCAGCCACTGGAGATTTCTCAATTTCTTGATTTTTAATATTTCTTAAGTGCTCTTTAAACCTGACCCCTATATTTCTTTTTGTTTGTCCTACGTAACATTTATTACAACTTTCACATTGTATTTTATAAATGCCTGATTTCCCCCCTTCATCTACCTTATCTTTAGGGTTACCTAATAAATCTCTTAAATTATTACTCTTAGATGTTACCAAAGTAATACCAAAATTCTTAAATATTTTAGTTAATCCATTTGAGATGCCCGGATAAAATAAAATTGGTGATCTAATTACTTTTTGTTCCCCCTCGCTGGAGAGTGTACTAGCTGCCCTCCTTTCTTTTTTCCACTTTTGTTTTCGGACTAATTTCAAAATTATGTTTTCGTTATACCCATTAAATTTAGCTATTTCTTTTATAACCACCAATTCTTTATCATAATCTATTTTATTCATCGGAATATTAATTAATCTGTAAACCATACTATTAAAAGCTGACAATTTGTGTTGCCAGGTGTGGTTCGATGTGTTCGGAATGTATCTGAACGTGTGTGTGTTTTTCCGATAAATTTCAAAATTTAGTTCCCCCTCTGTTCTTTTAACTAATAAATCCAAAAAAGGCAATTTTCCCTCTATTTCTTGTTCATATGTAAATTTAATCGATGGGTAAAAAGAATTTAAATGTTGTATGAAAACCCCCATATTAAAATCTTTATTTATAACTGCAAAAATATCATCGACATACCTAACCCAAATTTTTGGAAAATCACCATAAGTGTATTCTAAATTTGTTTCAAACCTACTCATGAAAAGTTCTGCTAAAAATGGTGATAGCGGATTTCCCATTGCTGTGCCCTCAGTGTGCTCATAAAATTTATTTTGAAACTGAAAAACATTTTGACTCATGCATATCNTTGCTGTGCCCTCAGTTTGCTCATAAAATTTATTTTGAAACTGAAAAACATTTTGACTCATACATAACTTTGTTAAATTAATAAGCTCATTTATTTTATCCTGTTCAATGTTTTGGTCCTTTAGCCAGTCTTTAAGAAAATCAATTGTTATATTTATTGGAATATTCGGAAATAAGGCAACTACGTCAAAAGAAATTAACCTGTCATTATTTTGAATGGTATAACTAGATAATTGTTTAACTAAATCAATATTATTTTTAACTGAAAAACTATCGAATTTTTTGAAAGATGAAAATACCCTTACTAGGTGTTTAGCCAAATTGTAAGTCGGAGCATTAATATTCGACACAATAGGTCTCATAGTACTTCCTGGCTTATGTATTTTTGGCAAAGCATATAGTTTAGGTATTTGAGGGTTTGAAATTTTAATAAAAAATCTGAACTTTTCTTCAATTATTAATTTTGAACTATTTATGACGTTTGTAGCCTCCCTTATCATTTTACTTAATGGATTCTTTTTAATTTTTTTATAAGGACCCTCTTGAATTATTCTTGATACTCTTTCAAAATAATCTTCTTTCTTTAGTATTACAACAGAATTCCCCTTATCTGACTTTAAATAAAAACAGTTTTTATTTTTTAAGTCATTTACGAGTCGTGAATGTTTTTCATTTTTTCCTAAACCCCCTTTATTTATAACAGAATTTTTTTGTAGAAAATTTAAACACTCCCTTCTTGCTAAGTCTTGATTATTAAAATCAACACTTTTAACCCCCATTTCAATGCCTACTAATAGATCTTCCATTGGAAATTTTTTTGGTAAAAAACTTGTTTTAAGACTCAACTTAAGTATTTCAGTTTCTTTAGCGGAAAAAACAATGTTAGTGTAATTTTTAACTAAATCGTCCCCCCAGTTTTTAGAAAATGAAACTACCGGACTTTTATTAAAATTATCTATTTGACCCTTATTTTTGTATTCTGAAAGTAAATTTTGAAATTTTTTATTTAACTTTCCTTTTTTTTTTTTAAATTTATGTTCATCCACTTGGTACATCTTCAGCTCGAAGATGTCCCTCTGTGATTGACTCAAAAAATTAGAGTTTTAAATGTAATTGATAAGCCCACATTTCTAATCTACTTCTATTGCGATAATGATTTATTATTTCTAACTTAAGAAATTTCTCCTGAGCGAAATTTATTGACTTGTAAAAAGTAATATTATTATTGTTTGACTTACTTGGTAATCTGGTAAACTTCGAAGTCATATGGAACTTAATACATTTTTTGAGAAAAAATATATCAGCTCCAATCAGGCGTATTTTCGTCTTGATCTGCATCAGTTTGTTTAACTCTTTATTATTTATGAAGGGGTTCATTCATTAGGTAGTTCGTGGGGGCATGCGTGACTCGGAAAGGCACATTCGACCTGGTATTAATTTTCGGAACCTTAAAAGGGATCATAGATAATATCGCAGGACATTCTATCTTCCCATCAAGCAAACCCCCGAGAAACCTAGAGCCCGCAATAATACGCCTCGATGACAGTGTAGAAAGGCCTAAGTATTTGCAACGGGGCTATAATCATGGGGTGGACATGGTAAACCCAGCGCCCGCCCAGCAAAACATAGAAATTTATTTTGAACCCTTTCTAACTGGCGACAGTTGTCTGCCGTGTGGGGGTCCCATACCACACTGCCATACTCTAATATAGGGCGAACCAATGCACAAAATATTAATATATCAATGTTATGTCTATTTTCATATTCTTTTTTATAATAAAACATAACATTATAATAAGGAGATTAGCAACAAGACATAGCTGGACTACTTCACTCACAGAAAAAAAAATTGTCTACATTTTTTCGTATACATATACTATATTTGCATGAGTTTGGGTATCTTGGAAGGTGTTCAAACACATTTTATAAGTGTATAAAGTTCTCAATTCTGTTCATAAATTTATTTTAATGTAAAAATATATTAATTTAATTATTTCTAAATCTATTACATTCATACACTATCATTTATATAATTTCTCTTCAATTCATATATTTTAAATACTGATAATGTACCATAAGGCAACATTAGATAAAGATAACATACTTTATTTTTTATTAAATAAAGTTGTTTCTCTCTATTTTTAACACATACCCTACATTTTTCACTCAATTTTTGTTCACATGCACAATATTTAAATAACTTAAAAAAATTTATTCTATAATTTTGATAGCCCTCATATTTCTGAGTATATTACAGAAAAATACTTTTGCTATATATAAGATGATTAATTTATCATTAACCACTAAAATTTTCTTAAAATAATTTTTGGATTTTGTTTAGTTTTATTTATTTCTTGATTTATAAATAGTTAAGTACTTTTAGGCCATCTCTTTAAGGGCAACAAAATTATTTTTTTTTAATAACAACATACAAATATAGCTAGTTCATATAACAGAAAATTATCCAGCTAAAATAGTGAAAGATTTGACAACTTTTGAACCGTTGTTCAAAACTCATTAACATTTTTAGATGTATTTTGGAGGTAAAGTGTAAGTTATTTTATTTTTATCATTATGCAATTTTATTCTGTGATAATTCTATCACCCAGGAATAAAAATATTAATAACTCCTCAATTACTAGTTCAAACGTTGTTATTGACTAATCATTCTATTATATATCCTAATTAAATATATATGTTGTCAGTTAAAAAAAATTAAGTTAGTATCCTTATAAGAGACAGGCGATAGAGATAGACATAAAAAGTACTTAAAAGATTAAAGTCTATAAAATAAATACTAATTAAATAAGTTAAAAAAAATCCTCAAAATGATTGTTATATCAGAAGAAATCTAGTACATATAAAAATAATACAATAAATCAATCATTCTGTAAATAGTAAATAAAAAATAACTTTTTGACTTTTGCTGTTCTATATATATGATGTAGGAGTCAAATGTTTAATAGCCGACATAAACAATATATAATGAATATATAAAAATAAAAATATTTTACTAAAGCTAATAAAAAAATTTTAATTGTAAAGCTCAATATAATTTTATAAAAACTCAGCAACAATAAAAAGTGAATTAATTAAATTTTTAGTTTATTTAAATACTATTGACTTTTTAAAAATCTGTTCAAAATCTGTTTTTCCTCAATTATATTTTTTTGATGAAATTTACCTATGTTGGCTGCCATATTTACTGCTTGGCCAACTCCTAAAAAGAATTTTAAATGTTGATTAACTTTATCAATAACAAGTATACATATAATACTATACCTGATCCACATGCAACAACACGATTGGCAATTCCACATTCAAAAGCTTCTTTAGAGTATAAATCTCTTCCAGTCAAAATTAAATCTAAAGCTCTAGAATATCCAACAGACATTAAAAGTTTGTTATAAAAATTTTTTGATAAAGATGTATCACATTTTCTATCTACAGACAAAACAGCATTTTCTTCTATAATACGCAAGTCACACCATAAACTTAAATGAAATCCAGCGTTGTAAGCAAACCCAGAAACAGCAGCAATAATTGGTTTTTGGCAATTAATTAACATAAATTCCTAAAATAAGATCAATAATAAGAAAACAATTAAATAAAAAAATATGTTATTTCACTAAGTTTACCTACGTTATACATTTCAAAGGTTTCTTTTAGTTTATCGGTTTCAAATCCAGCACAAAAAGAACCTCCTTCACCATATAAAATAGCAATGGTAGATGAATTATTACTTTCGAAGTCTTTAATAGCTTTATATAAACCATTTATTAATGATAAATTTAATTTATTTTTATTATCTGGTCTGTTTAATCCTATAAGAGTAATATGTTGGTGTTCATAAACTTTTATAGTAGAATCTTCATCCATATCTGGAAATGCAACATTCATTTAAACATTATAAAATTAATTACATTGGTAGCAGTTGTTCAATTGCCTATATTTTTAGTACAATTAATTCACCAAATTAAAATATATAAAGTATTTTAAGTAGAAAATTGTAATTCATTATAAACTAGTTTCCCAGATTTTAAACGTTTTTTAATCAAAGAGTCTAATGACTTTATTAAAAGCTAACTATAATCAACATTTTAGTTAGAAGTAGTATTAAATTTTGTCACATTAATTGAAAATTGATCATTCTTAGGTAAAATACTTAAAGTACCACTGTATGTAAGGGTTTACATCACTAACGCCTATTATCCATTCCTAAAATGAATATTAGCCTGTTGTTATAAAAAAAATTGTATGTATGCGAGTTAAAAAATATGTAATTTATATTTTGTAGTACAAACATATTCATAAATACAGTTTTATATATACAACACACAAATGATTTAATTTTAAACAATATCAATTTAATTGTTTTCTAAAAGAATAAATAAAATATTATTTCATACCTGATAGATTTTTATTATGAATATAAGATGAACAAAACTTTATATGTTTCGAAGGTTCTATAAAAAAATTCCATAACTTAGTAGAATTTAAAAATTTTAGTTGAACCGGCATTTTTAATAATTGTTACCACGGATAAATGGGCTGATATCAAATACCTTATCAGTGATCTTGAAATGTTTCTCTAGAAGTACTCTACGGTATACAGCTCTACCTATACAATTAATTATTTCATCGGACCCTGGAATCTTTTTAATGTAAACTATATTTGGTATATTAATTGGTAAGCATTTTTCTGTAGTAATGCTATTATTTTTATTATAGTTATAACAAATACAAATTTATTTTTTTTATAACGATCAAACGATAAGTCTTTACTGTCATGTATTATTTTATTGTATATTGAGTGTATTCTTGTATTATACGTTTCATCTTGATTTAATTATTACGTTTTGCGTCATTATTGAACTTTTACTCCTGTTTACTATTATAAGTAGAAGTTTACCCTGTGAATAAGGGATAAGAATTTTTCCAAGGCCCTTCTGCAGTTGTAAAAGGCGACTAATGATGTTGCATTAGGTCGATAGCCGGTGTAAAATTTTGTCTAAAAGTATAAAGAGTTCTGAACAGAACTCAAGCGGATTGTCCTATCTCAGTTGTATGCGGGGACAACAGATGAGAGGAAATTAAGTAGTAAGAGATTAATGAAGAATATAACAAAGAAATAGAATATAGCAGCGTTTCCCAAAGTATACCGGTACTGGGTCGCGGCAAAAATTGTAAATACAATAAAAAAAACCCAGCACAGTGGGGTCGTGGCATAGTTGGGTCCAGTATAGATGATATCTGACAGTGATTAAAATCACTATCATAAAAAACGCTTCGATGCAAATCTGTAGATAGTGTTTAATTAAAAAAAAAAATTTTGTTAAAATAGCATATTTTTGAATATGGTAGCCATTTGCGCATAGAAGATAGGTCGTCGGGACAAATTTTTTTTTTTATTTTATAGTACACAAAATAAGCTTTAATTTGATATATGTTTAAAGGACGCAGTAATTCCGGAACTTTTTCAAAAATTAAGTTGAAAAAGTAATTTTTTGTATAAAAGTTACTATTTTAAATCCCCCCAGTGAGCAGAATAAGTGTTAGATTTTCGAAAAAAATTATATCAAATGAAAGGGAAATATCTATGGTTTCAATACAAAAAAATATTATTTTTATTTGTTCATTTTTGAAAAAGTTATGGCAGTTTTAAGTACAAAAAACATCCCGATAAAAGGTAATTTTTATCGCAAACATTACATTTTTTTTTTAATTTTCGACAGCCATTTGCACATAGAAGATAAGATGTCGGGACAAATTTTTTTTTTTCATTTGATAGTATATAACATAACCTTTGATTTAATGTATGTTTAAAGGACGCAGTATTTCCGGAACATTTTCAAAAGTTTAGTTGAAAAAGATCTATGTTTTTTACAATATTTCAAGTTTTGAACGCCCCCTATATAAGGGGAAATTGTCCAATTTTAATAAAAAGTATGTCAAACGAAAGATGTACTTATAATGTATTATGAAAAAAAAATTTTTTGCTAATATATACATTTTTCAAAAAATTATAGGATTTTTAAGTTGAAAATTTAAAATCGAAAATCGAAAATTTTAACAAAAAATAGTGTTTTTTTAACTACACTGTAGTATCCATAAATAAGCGTTGGCGATAAAACGCTTGCCTTTAAATTCAAACATGACTTTGGAAGAATGTGTCAAAGTTTGTAAAAGGCATAAAATCTCGTTCATTGAATAGCAGACTTTTGCGAATTATGCGAGGAAATGGGGAGTGATCATAAACACCTCTTTATATATTGTAATTCACGATGGCTTTCAAAAGGAAACGTTTTAAAACGTCTGTTTGAGCTAAAAGACGAAGTCTTGGTATTTCTGAATGAGCATCCACCATCTATTGGTGAAAAGATGCTATTTTTCCATTTAAGGATAGATTTCACGATTTCGAATGGTTAATAATAGTACCTTATTTTTGCGACATATTTGCTACATTCAATGAATTTAATTTAAATTTGCAAGGCTTTGGTTTAAATATTTTCAAAGTATCGGAAAAGGTCGCTGCAATAATTAAAAAATTGACTCTGTGGAAACAACGACTTTCAAAAGGAAATTTTAAATCTTTTGACACATTACATAAATTTATTGAAAACCATTTAAACTACAATGAAGAAGTTTTACCACTTGAAACATTATCAGTTTCAATTCAAGAACATCTTTCGATGCTAATAAATAGTTTTAAAGACTACTTTCCGGATATTACCTCAAATAATATGTGGATTAAAGATCCTTTTTCTGTCAAAATTGATAAGGAAGAAATGCTTAATCTTAGTGAACAAGAAGTTGGTAATTTAATTGAAATTTCATGCGACACCGATCATAAAAAAGTGTTTGAAACTGTACTACTAATTAATTTTTGGTTGCGCTGTCAAAAGGGGTATCCAAGAATAAGCGAAAAAGCTTGTATAGCTTTTTCGCTTATTCTTGGATGTTCTTGGATGTCGAACCGAATTTGAGAATAAATTTAATATCATTTCATCTTAATTTGAAATTATTATGTGATGACAAACAATATCATCCTTCGCACTAAGGCCAAAATATGTAAAATAAAGTTTAGTTCATTTTCTAAAGTTTTACGTGAATATAACGGATATTTTAGCTTCGATGCGAAGCTGAGAAGGTATTGGTTTTACTAAGATGTGTTTTTTTTTTTGTGTCTGTTACCACTTTTTCTCAGCTCTCACCGAACCGATTTCTTTCAATGATACGTCAAAAGATCACAAATCGTATCTAGTCGAAGACATTACCCTTAAAAATTGAAAAAAATTCCCTCGTTCCCCGTAAATGGGGGAAACCTCCAAAAAAATTACAAATTTAAAAATCGTTAATTTTCGAAATTTTTTCAATTTTTTTAATTAAAAGTGCCATAACTTTTTCAAAAATAAACATATCAATATAATTCTTTTTTATATAGATGCATAATATCATTACCTTTCATTTGGTATATTTTTTTCATAAATTTAACCCTTAACCTGCCCACAAGGGGGGATTTAAAATGACAACTTTTTCACAAAAAATTAATTTTTTTAACTTAAATTTTGAAAATGTTCCGGAAGGTCTGACACTTTTATATATATCTTAAATTAAAGCTAATGTAATATGCTTTATCATGAAAAAAAAAAATTTCGGACTTTATCTTATCTTCATGGTGAAAATGGCTACCGAATGCTATTTTTGTGTGAAAATTTTCGATTTTGTATTTTCCATTTTTAACTTTATTATGCTATAACTTTTTGAAAAATGTATGAATCATTACAATTTTTTTATGAGAAGTAGTATTTATATAGATCTTTCATTCGACATACTGTTTTTTTAAATCGGACCATTTCCCTAAATACAGGGGGGATTCAAAACATAAAAATGCATATAGAAAGTAGAACTTTTTCAACGTAACTTTTGAAAGTGTTCCGGAAGGTCTGACACTTTTATATATATCTTAAATTAAAGCTTATGTAATATACTTTATAATGGTAAAAAAAAATTTCGGACTTTATTTTATCTTCATGGTGAAAACAGACATTAAACTTAATAAAAAAAATACGATTTTTGTAAAAAAATTCTTTTTTATATTTTTAACTTTATAATGCTATAACTTTTTGAAAGATGTATGGATCAATATAATTCTTTTTTTTGTAGATGCATGATGTCTTTACCTATCATTTGGTATATTTTTTTTATAAATCTGACTTTTTACCTGCCTACAGGGGGGGATTCAAAATGACAACTTTTTCACAAAAAATTGACTTTTTCAACTTAAATTTTGAAAGTGTTCCGGAAAGTCTGACACTTTTCTTTATATATTAAATTAAAGCTAATGTAATCTACTTTATTATGTAAAAAACAAACTTCGGACTTTATTTTGTCTTCATGGTGAAAATGGCTACCAAATGCTATTATTGCGTGAAAATTCTCAATTTTATTTTTTACATTTTTAACTTTATAATGCTATAACTTATTGANACTTTTTCAACTTAAATTTTGAAAGTGTTCCGGAAAGTCTGACACTTTTCTTTATATATTAAATTAAAGCTAATGTAATCTACTTTATTATCTAAAAAAAAAATTTCGGACTTTATTTTGTCTTCATGGTGAAAATGGCTACCAAATGCTATTATTGTGTGAAAGTTCTCAATTTTATTTTTTACATTTTTAACATTATAATGCTATAACTTATTGAAAAGTGTATTGATCAATATAATTTTTTTATGGGAAATACTATTTTCTAATAATCTCTTTTTTATTCGACATACTTTGTCTTAATCAGGATATTAATAAGGAACTAGCAGTTTATGAAGCTTTTGGAATAATCCACCAATTTTTTAAAATTAAACACTATCTAAAGATTTGCATCGAAGCGTTTTTTTTTGATAGTGATTTTAATCACTGTCAGATATCATTATACTTGATCCAACTATGCCACGTCACCACTGTGCCGCGACCCCCCTGTGCTGGTTTTTTTTAATTTGTTTTTGTTAAATAATTATTTTGAAATTTTTGTGTATGAAAGAAATAGACATATAACATGATTTTTATTAATTATGATTTTTGATTATTATTTTTGAAAACGAGAAAAATATATTAATTTAGTATCGCTTAAGAGATCAAGATTCAAATAAACATGTGATTAAAAACCCAACTCAACACAGTGGGGTTGTGGCTTAGTGAGGACGTGACATAGTTGGGTCCAGTATAAATTTAACCTGACAATGATTAAAATCACTATCATAAAAAAAGCTTCGATGCAAATCTGTAGATAGAGTTTAATTTAAAAAAACCCAGCACAGGGGGGTCGCGGCACAGTGGTGACGTGGCATAGTTGGATCAAGTATAATGATATCTGACAGTGATTAAAATCACTAT